GAGTGTCACGCTTTATAGGTTCAGCTGCAGCGGTGGTGTGGAGTGGAGTGGAGAGGAGAGGAGAGGAGAGGAGCGGAGAAACTCCTCTGTGGACGTGGTGGGGAGGTGCGCGGGGGTTGGTGGTTGGTGGTTATGGGATGGCTGGTTGCATGGGATGAAGGGAAACAAGGGAGATGTTGCACTTACCTACACGGGCAGATGTTGCCTCCAGATTACCCCCTCTTCTCCCTCCCTCTCTCCAGTCCTCACACTTTCCTTGCTCTTCTCTCCTCTAACTCCTCCCCCCCCCCCCCCCCCCCCTTCAGTCAGGCTCATGCACCAAAGACAGAGGCAGTAAAGCAAAGAGAATGGGGAAGAAAAAAGAAAAAAAAAAGAGGAGGAGAGCGTGGCAGAAGAAGTGCTTCGTTCTCTCTTCTCTTTAGTCCTCTGTCCCAGGTGCTGCCTCTGCAGTCTCTCTCTTTCCTCCCCCCCTCTCTCTCTCTCCCTCTCTGTTCAGCCTCACTCTTGTTCTCCCTCTCTTTAACATCCTCACTCTGATCCTCTCTCTTCCACTTTGCTTCCCTTCGTCTCTCTGTCTCCTGCTCTCACTGCAAACTTTTAGCCCATGAGTCCCACTGGTCCTTTCCAACGCTGACAGTAATTTCCCTGTCTTCTTTCCTCCTCTCCACTCCTTCCTCTCATTTATTTTTTGCAATTCCTCTCTGTGTTCTTAACACACACACACACACACACTGTCCCATTCAGCCTGTGGGCTTCCATATGTAGTCTCTTCTTGGCTGCTGACTCCCCTCTGTACAGCACGTGCTCTGACTCTCTCCCTGCTCTCTCTGTGTCTCTCTCTCTCCATCAATCCCCACCACACAGAGACCAGTGATGCTGCTGGTTGAATTGGACCAAAGGAATGTACTGTAAATGCACGCATGTGTGTGTGTCCAGGTGAGTCCGATTGGCCGTTTTCCTCCATTCATCTGAGACCCCCGCCCCTCAACCCTCCCTGGTCCCCTGATCCACACCGTTGTCCCCACCTTCCCCCGCCTTCCCCCTGCTGTCTCCCATCATCCTCCCTCACCTCCTTCTTCTACCCCCTGCCTCCCTGTCCTCTCGCGGAGATCGATACCAATTTATAGGCAAATGCACAAAGGCTGAGTCGTGCTTTTAATGAATTGAACCATTGCTAACGTCAGGCATCTAATGAAGGCTCTGGAGGGTGGTGGTGGAAGAAAAGACCCTATGGCAGCAGCAGCAGCAGCAGCAGCAGCAGCAGCAGCATATAGGGCCCCATTCAGGCATGGTAATAACGTCCACGCTAAGATACCTCCACTGGGGAAATAAAAGTGTGACTGTCCAAACCTGGCAACCAGGACAGTTTTAATTCTGATAGTGGGATATAAAGTTTTATTATTTTGTGTGACTGTATTAATGGCTACTTAACAGGCGCTTATATGGGTCTGTAATGGGGTCAGGAGTTTAATGACAGAGACTCAAGCAGGAGAATCAACGTATAGAATCGGTTCACCTATGAGAAGACCAACATTACTGTAGAAACTGCAGGAGGTCAGATAATGGGTCAGGTGAAAACAAGGACCACCCTGGGGGGAGTAAGGGAGGGTCACCTCTGTCCTTGGCCGACGGAGAAATTGCGAATTACGTAGCAAGACGATGAAAGTTGATTGCGAAGAAAGTCAGCAGTTTGAACATCAGACCTTTAAAGTTCGATGGTCGATGTTTGAAGGTCGATGAACCTCATACCTGTGATATGCTTCAAGTACGTTTCCTTCCTGACAAGGATAACGCTGTTTAGACACCACAGGTTGAGAAACCTCTGTCTGAAGGCCACAACATTATCTTACAATGAGTACTTCTACACGTCCACCTGTGTCGGATCATATTTGAATGACGGTACTGGTTCTAGAACTCTACCAAGGAACCAAAGGTACTTTCTAAATTTTAACTTGCTACTGATATATTTTACTTAAACAAACTTCAGAAAATGTATATGTATGTAGATGATTGTCTTTTCTACGTTAATAGTTTATAACCTAATAAACAAACATCTGTTGGAAACCAACACGCCTTTTTAAAAGAATAAGGCAAAAAAAAAAAACATCTTTAAAAGTGTAAAAAAAGACACTTTTTAATTTTGAGAAACAGAGATTTTTCCTAAAATATATAGACAGGAATAATAAAACACTTAACGTTTAACCTCCGACTGCTGAAGGTCAAGGTTGCTCTATGATCATCTCTGGTCTGACTGAGGTTTTCTGTCAGTATTTGTGCAGCTCTTTGAACATGCGTGCGATTCCAATGCAGGACATAAAGTTGGACTCCTAACAATGGTGGACGGTTGGGTGGGTGGGAGTGCAAAGGTGGGTTGTTCACGCTCCATGCCCCCCAACATTCGCTGCCTCTGGAAACACGGCCAATTAACTGCAGTTTTCCGAAAGTCTTCCCCCGTGTTTGGCGCTCGACCTTTCACACAGAGTGACGACTGAATCTAATCAAATAACCATGAAAGACAACGCTGACAACGCAGAATCCCTGATTAACTATTTATGAGAGTACATTTATGTTTATATATATTTATCCTCGGTGGGTAAAGGATACAGTTTTCCTTTAGGAGCGTTGGCCCCACGGTGAAGTGGAAAACAGATATTCCAGGTGATTTTTTTTTTCTTTTTTTCCTCTTTGTTTTCTGCAGCTGCTGCACAGGTATTGCAAACTCCAAAGCTTGAGTGTAACAGCTGTACCTGCTGCACCGATGTGAATGTCATCCCCGTAGCCCCCCCATCGCCCCCTTTGTGTGTTTCCACCACTGTAACCAGTGCCATGGGGGCTGCGCACATCAGCCCTGCCCGCCCAGTAATTAAACTAAAAGTCTCTTCCATAAATCACACTCGTCTTCCCCTCTCTCTCTCTTCCTCTCTCTCTCTCTCTTAATTCTCCTCTATGTTTTCTTTCTTGCAGCAATGGAACTGATGTTTTGTAAATCACCAGCAGGGGCTGGTAAAACGAGGGTGGCTTTGCACGCGTGCCATTAAACACGGACACACACAAGTCCAGCACCGCGTGTAGGACACATTTCAAAGCCTTGAGTCGTTCATTCTGGCCCTGTGTGCCATTATCACAACGTTCCAGGCAGGAATTAAAACTCCAGACAACCGCGGCAGATAGCGAGATATGGAATTTGCACCCTCAACACACTGCTTTGCTCGATATGAATGGGAATCTGGTATGATATCTGTAATCTGTGTGATAAGGTGTAAAACAGAAAACAGAACATTGTACGTCCTCTTAGAAATCAACTTCTCTTTCTGTTAACGCTCAGCGATAATGGCTGCTACGGTTAAAGTATCTTTTTTTTTATTTAAAAAAAGCCAAGTTTCACACTCGCTGCTCAGGCTGCGGGAAAGACAGACCGACTCCCTTCAAACAGCTGCACGTCTTCTTCACCCGCTACAACCGTTACAGACTGTCTCCTACAGTGTGCAGCAGGGCAGGGCCCTGGACACCCAACACCTCACCACCTCCAGCAAACTCAGCGTGAAGCCTGTCAGGGCTCCGGATGTTTAACAGACAGCTGACCACGACTGATCTTCCTGGTATCTGCTAACTGGGTAAAATTAGCCTGGACGTGAGGGGAGAGGGGAAGGGGGGAGACAGAGGGACGGCAGCAAATGCAACGACACTTTTAGAACCTTCGCTTCCACTTCAAACCTCGCCCTCTCCACGTCTCTGGAGAGCGACACATGTGTGTCCTGTCTATAGATAGAGCTGAGGCCCCCAGTGGGACGGCCACACGGACGCTCAGCTTAACACCAGGGCACATTAGAACATGCTCATGTAGCATTTCTCCCGATAAAGCTCACCTGTCCTGCATTCAAATATAGTCCAGTGCGCAGGACTGCAATGGTGCAACGTTATGTTCTTCTGAAGCAGGTCCCGCTGCCATATGGAAACGTTTTTTCTTTTTTTTCTTTACAATGTCAGCTAAAAATAAAATGCTTGAAAAAAAAAAATTACAAAAATTCAAGAGTCAAACTTTTGAAGAAAAAAAAACAAACGTTAATTCTCAAGGACAGGTTTCGTTCTTTTAAACCAAAACAACAATTTTCCGTCGGCAACCATGGTTTTGCCTTTAAAAAATGTTTGACAAAAGGGCGAACTAGTCTGTAAAAAGAAAAAAAAAAAAACGTTAATTCTCAAGGACAGGTTTCGTTCTTTTAAACCAAAACAACAATTTTCCGTGGGCAACCATGGTTTTGCCTTTAAAAAATGTTTGACAAAAGGGCGAACTAGTCTGTAAAATGAAAAAAAAAAAAAAAAGGCTCAAAGACGGGGGTAAAAACTGGTTTGACTGGTTTGGAAAGCAGGCGAGTAAACACGTTTTAAATCGAGGAAAATAGACGTTTTAAAATGTGGTGGAAAACAGATTTAATTTTCCCTTCAGACGGAAAATAAAAAGTCAGTATTTATGGACAGCTATAGATCTGCATGGTTTACGGGCGCCTAATAAATTCAGCTGGCGCTTATGAAAGGTGGCAACAATCTGAGGCTTCAGCTGTTATCTGACAACTTGCTGTTCTTGCACTACATGAACTCATTTTTCAGCCACAGAGAGAAAGATGTTACACACTCTCCCTGACATTTATTATTTTTTTTAACAACTAAATGAACTTTAACTGAGTTGAAGTAGCCGAGCAGGAGAAAACCTCAGAGACGACCTTTGGCCTTTTAACCTCGTGAGAACACGTTGAAAAGGGTCTCTGTTACATCATAGGTCACATTGAATGTTCAGAATGAATTTTGTGTTAAACAATGGGAAGATATTTAATCATAATGAAAACTGCATACACAGTATTATGTGTAGAGGCGGCTTCAACAAATGCTCACGGATACACGTACAGTATGTGCACACAGGTTTGAAAACACATGCGATGGCGTTGAATATCATAAAAGGTTTCATCAAACGGAAACAGCAAACATACTTTTACTTTACTCACCACATTCACGTCAGGCTGCTGAAGGATGGTGGCCCAGGCAGAGTGAAGCAGCCGGTGCAGGCAGACTCTCTCCTCCCCGGGAGCTGAATCAGCGATGGAGAGTTTAAGGATGCAGAGAAGAGGGTAAGAGGAGGAGGAGGAAAAGGAGAGGACAGTAGGAGGAGTAAAGCGAGAGGAGAGAAATGGAGAGGGTCAAAAGACTTACAGTGCTGGATTGGAGTTAAAAAAAAAAGAAGAAAAAAAAGAAAAAAACACAGAATGAAAAATGTATCACAAAGCTGTGATTTTGATTCAAATAGGACGATTTAAAGTGATGACAAGGGAGGGCAATAAAATTGCATTAGTTGCCCCTCAATTGCAGCTGCCTGTCCCTTTCACACCACACCAGAGCAGACCAGACCATGTAAAGTTAGAAGGAGGACAGCTGATCAGGCTGCCAGAGAAGGAGATAGAGTGAGATAGTGAGTGCTGACAGAGCTGAAGGACAAATCAGGAGGAGGGACGCAGGAAGGAGGGAGGGAGGGAGGGAGGGAGGTGGTGGAGGCTGAGGGAAATGTAGAAAGTGAGTGCGGAGAGACGGTGGGTGAGGACAAGGGGAGAAAAAGTGGAATTTTGAAAGAATAAGGAAAAAAGGTCAGGGGAAAGAGGAGTGAGTTTGATAAGGAAAAATAAAAGAAAAAAAAGTTTGGATGGTACAACGTAAAGAGGTAGAAAAAAAATTGAGCAACATAAATGAACGATCGTGGGAAACAAAGACAGAACATCTCTTACTGTTTTTGTCCTTCTTGTCATTTGCCACCGTATTCCACTCCCCCTCTCCAAAGATTACAGGAAAACTTGTCAAAAACAGCCTGTCATACACATTGTCTTTCAACCAAAAACGTCATTGGAAAAACTGGAAAACCAACCCAGGGCAGGGGCACCAACAGGCAGGGTTGAGCAGAATCAGAGGAAACCCCCACCATCCCAGGGTTTTTATACCAAGGTAAGACGCGGAGCCGTGCGCCCTTCCAGCAGCCCGCCCGCACAGCCAGGCTCCACGGCCTTATTTAGTGAAGCATGGCAAAAAATAGCCCTGTAAGAAGCTGTTGGGGGTGTCTGGGTTAAAGTGGGAGGGGCAGATACGGGAGGTGAGGCAGAAGGGTGTCAGACGGTGTTGGGAGGGCGGTGGCGTTGGTGACGTAGTAATCGGTCTCTCTGCCCTTTGACTACTCTGGTCTGGGCTCCATTTATCCTCCGGTCTCATGTATCATCTATTTCTCTTTCCTCCCGTGACACTTTGCTTTTCTGTGTCCTGATCTCTGCTTCTGATTCCCTGGTCCACTCTTCTTACACTGTGGGTGTATGAGTGTGTGTGTGTGTGTGTGTTAGAGAGAGAGAGAGAGAGACAGTGTGTGCAGCATTTACATTTATTCATTTGGCACATGCTTTTATCCAAAGTGACTTACAACGGTGGGACTGGGAGTAAGTGGAAGGCTAAGTGCTGAACGTGTTCGCGGTGACAAAGTGTAGGACATCGGGCGCAGGAGAACGCCACGTCTAGAGTGCAGCGGTATGCAGCGTGGCTAGTCATGTTAGATGAGGTGTTGGTCCAAAAGAAGCTCTTCTTCACTGCTACACTCAACGAGCCTCTTGTAGCTTAGCCGCCCCTTCAGGTTCTAGTTCTGCTCAGAACTTTCCTGTGAATCTAAACAGTTAACTGCTGAACACCAATACACTCTGGGTGATCACTGAGACATTCAGATGAGATACATTTTAAAGTAATTGTACTAATGTTTTTTACACTTAAATTTTGGCTTTCAAACCATTTTAATTTTTTTTTTATCTTATCTCAATAATCATCATCAATTTTAGGTATAATTAGGCACGATTAATCATGATTATTTCACAATTACTATTTCATAGTAAATCAACATTCCTAAATTCACGCCTGTTTTAATTGTGACCAATCAAAATGCGGGGGCAATTAATACAAAAAAAAAAAACTAAGTTTGCCTTATAGTCTTGATAGATTTCAGTAATTACTGCGCACGGTGGCTTGGTTTAACCCTGACTCGAAGTTGTAGCCTTCACAAATGCATTCTGGGAGTTGAGAAATTTGTAAATTTTCCAGTTAGTTCCTGGACAGTGGATTATGGGATTCACAGTACAAGTACTTCTGGCCATGAATACACAATACAATACATGTTTGATCATAAATGGAATGAAAAATAAAACTAAAACAAAAACGGCGACCTTATGACCTTCTAGAGATTGTCACACTATAGTTTTACATTTCATTATTTTTTGCCACTTTCACAAACTGCCATCACACCATCAGTGGCTCAGAGTTCTTCTGATGTTTGACCATTAAAAAAATCCTTTGACTTATTTGTAGGAACTCTCGTCGTCACAAATGGCCAAATGACTGGTTTTGTACTTTTTTGTACCTTTGAACTCTTTTAAAAAAAATGTGTTCCTTTAATTTTTAATCAGTGCAGAGATTAAAGTGATGGGTTGCCGTTTGACTCCGCTGCAAACCCCAGGAGGTTAGGCCATATGGCCACACCGCCTTCGGTAAGACCTTCCTTTGACTGCAGCCTCCTATATTACTGTACTGCACACATTTGGAATTTTAATGCATATTAATACTGTGTTAAAAAAAACTGTCATATATCCAGGGGATGAATGTATGTCATAAGAATAAATCACTGCACGGGGGAGATGCAGAAACACAAGCAGAGGGCGGCGGGAAAAATCACTTTCGCCGAGTCTGTAAAAGTACACATTGTTCTCTATTTGCTGCACGAGCAGTCAGTAGTGAAGGAATGACAAATTTAACAGAAATTAGATTCGATTTCAGAATGACTGTGTATCCTCTTTAAACGGAATTTACAAAAATAAATAGTGTTGCTAACGAGAGGCAAAATCTAGACCAGGCGTGGGAAAACGTTTGTTTTTGTCAGGAGCAGATAGATGGAGAGTCATTTTCTACGCCATCTATTGAGGAAACGTGGGTACTTGCAGAAGTATATAAAATAAATAAATTATATAATTTGGAAAAGTTTGGTGGGCCGGATTAAAAAGCTGAACGGGCCACATCTGTCCCCCGAGCCTTAGTTTGCCAATGCCTGACCTAGAAGGTAGAGTCTGGTGTCTTAACATGATGGAATGATGATCTAAAATATTTGGGATTGTGCAATAAGTTTTTGAAAGAATTCGAAATTTCAAATGGAACAAAATATGAATGTGTAAATAAGGAAACATAAACAAAACTGATATTAATGAAATATGAAAAGCTTAAAAAGCTTGAATTTGGAAGGAAATATTTTGATTTGTACATCAACAGTAGACATAGGTATAATGTGGCCATTTTTCAATGTTTTTTTTCAAACTCTCGGGTTTCCTCCTTGTACTCCTGTTTCTCCCACCACCCCAACAACGTACAGAGTGTGTTTGAGGGCACACAGCGTTCTAATGGACTGTCCATGCCCACCTTCATCCAATAACTGCAAACAGTTGTCGCGGTATCATCTGTCTGTGTCCCAGGCTTCACCGAGAGCTGGCTTTGGTGATATCCAGTTTCTAAATACAGTTCCACGCTGACGGAGGGCGAGGAAAAGCACGGTAACAGACGCCGAGACTAGGTGTGGCCACTTTGTGCTGGTTGCCGGGTTGATGAAGACCCTCCGATGGGCTGAAAGTCTCGCTGGACCAAGTGACGTGGAAAGAGAAAAAAAAAGAGAGGAACAACAGGAATTGAGGGGACAGCTGGGAAAGAAGAGAGATGGAGGAAAGAAAGGATATTGATTTCCTCCTTAAAGAGGCAATCTCTGTCTCTCAGGAGCCGTGGGGACGGAGTGTGTCCCTCCACACGTGTGTTGGTCTGTAACAATGAAGTCATACATTCTTTTACCTTTGGTGTTTTTCAACTACTGCTACTGTCTGTATTTCTTTCTCTTTCTTTTTACATTTACATTTATGCATTTAGCAGATGCCTTTATCCAAAGCGACTCACGAGAGGAGGATTAACGATCAAGAATGTGGTTCTTCTGGGAATTGGACCGAGGGCTTGCTGCTCTCTGAGGCAGGTGTGCTAACCGCTACACTGTGGAACACACACTTGTTTTGTCCGGTTAGCTGCAAGGAACCTGAAGCAGTGGTTCCGACCTTCTTTTGACATCACAAACGTCTGGTGACGCCAGAGAAAAAGGCGACCCCATTAGTATTCCAGGCGACCACATGGGGTTGCGACCTCTATGTTGAAAATCACTGACCTAAGGTGTTTCACCTGTTTCCGGACGCCATCCTCTTTATTCCCTCTGTTTCTCTGAATGTTTTCAGCCTCTTTAGCTCGTTAGCATGTGACTATTAAGACCCCGCCCCCGCCTCCTACTATTGACATTTTTAAATCCAATTTAAAGTGATATCTTTTTAATCTAGCCTTTAATTCTGATGCTGCCTGATTGTATGTGCCTTTATCCAATGTGTTACTTTGTACTCTGTCTTATCTTTTGTTTCATTTCCCTTCCTTTTTTGCTGAAACTTTTGCCTTTGGTAATTTGGCACTTTGGCTCATGTCCTCTTCTTTTAAATGCCATTTGGGGCAGTGGCACATTAACAGCAGTGATGTTATGCTGCAGAGAGAGAGAGAGAGAGTCCCCGAGATTAAGAGGTTGTTTTGGACACGTCTTGAAACGTCCAACTGTGGTGGTCTCTGTCTCTTCTCTGGCTGTGGAGAGACCCATCGTCTGCTGCAGCCTCAGCACAGTCGCAGGTGCTTCACAGCAGCAGAACTTCATTACTGTGAGCAGCTGTATTTAAGACCAGACAATATTCTCAGGTGATGTTTGTCTGATTACAGATTACTGAGTTTAGGGTGCGATGAGTATTTTGGTATAACTTATTGGACTGGAGTTACAATTTCGGTAATACAGTGTTCCCTCTCTGATGAGTATTTTGGTAGAACTTATTGGACTGGAGTTACATCAATTTCGGTAATACAGTGTTCCCTCTCTATATCGCGGTTCTACTTTCGCTCCCTCAGTACATCGCAGATTCTTTTTTTATCAAAGTTTTAGCTATATTGCGAAATATAGCAAAAAAATAAAAAAAACAATTATACTTACAAAAGTTTTTGTCATGTAGGTCTGGTTCCGTGTTTTCCTGTGTTCTTATTTAGCTATATTGCGAAATATAGCATAAAAATTAAAAAAAAACAATTATACTTACGAAAGTTTTAGCTTTAAAAATGTGGATTCTCATTTTGAAATTGAGATGAGTGCATTTGCGAACAATCCCTGGTAGCTTTGTTTACCTAGACGAGATCATTCACAGCTAATACAATGTGTACTCGGTGTACTATTGGCTAATTGAGCTTGCGCTTCTGTTCCTCCTGCTGATTGGCTCATGAATCGTAGCATCTCTCAGCATTTCCCCTTGTCTGTGGACTACTCTCTCGTTCACTTCGCTCTGCGTCGCCATTATTCAACTGTACTATGATTGTGTGGGAAAGGCTAATACAGTCTAGGGAGGGTTGATAACAGTGTGGGGGAGCTTCGTAAAGGGTCAATATATACGTAAATAATATAACAACTATCTCGCTATCCCTATGATTTTTCCCATTTTGCGATGGGACTTGGAACGCAACTACCGCGATAGGAGATGGACCACTGTATTCAGAATTTAGATTGAAAGCAGCAACTGTGTGATCGAGTCGCTTTTACCTCTTTGTCTTTCTTGACAGTCAAAACCACAGAATACATTAAAACAATTCTCAAGACCGACTGAAAAGGAAAACATGCCTGGAGCAACAAATGAAGAAATGACACCTGAGAGGAACACGTCTGTGTCCCATGACAGAGTATAAATCAGGCTTCAACCATCATAGATTGTATACCGTAGTCCACACAGTTGCATTTCAAATCCTGGCAGGAACCATTAAAGTGTTTTCATATTTTAGCAACTTTCAGGGGGCAATAAAAAAAGTTTGATGAGGTTGTGTTTATAGGTAGATTTTTCTTCTTTGTGAACACCGTGCCAATATGTACTGTAATAAAACATACCTTATTCTGGATCGGCTCCGACTGGAGTTTGTGAGCAGAAGAAAAATAATTCACCACTTTGAGTCAGTGTTGGTTTTGATCACATCAGTTTTGGAGAACGTCGGGTTATGTTTTCGTTTCATGGGAAGTGTGTGTGCGTGTACGCTTTGTGGTTTTAATTTATATATAAGGATGTGTGTATGTGAAAATGAGGAGTGTGTGTGTTTCCTTCAAT